AGCACAAAGCTGTGGCAGGTCCTACACCAACCTGGAAAAACTTTTGAGCATGGGCCTCATGATGGACTACAGCTCACCTGGTTCAAAAACTAGACTAGTTAAATTCAGAGTGGCTCATTACTATGTTAGCTTCAGGGTAATACATTTTTTAGCCATAGCAGCTCTTGAAAAACATTTAAGTTATGGGAAAGTTCTGGTTTGTGACAATAAAGGAGAGGATTGGGTAGGGATATGTTGGGAAATGTAAATATTAGGCAAAAACATTTAAAAAAAAACTAATAGAGGAAGTAAATGGGGGTGGAGGGCTGCTAATGTTAGAACTTCACTCTCATCTGGGTTAAAGAGGAAACAACATATACATCTGGAAAGCTGTAGAAGCTTTCTGAACGTGTTGAAAGATGAGAAAACTGGAAGACAGGATAGGGGAGGGGCTTTTTTGGGGGGGGTGGGAGGAAGGTAGGAGAGTGGAGAGGAGGAGAAGATAAGGTAACAGGGATAGGGTAAAAAGAGAGGCTGAATAGTGAATAAAAATAAGACAGAGGGAAATTCACAAATAGTCATTACAACTCCGAAAGTGAATGGAAACTGGAAATTGCAGGGACACCCATCAATTGGGGAATGGCTGAACAAGTTGTAGTGTATGGTTGTGATAGAATACTGCAGTGCTATGGGAAATGATGAGCTCAAGGATTTTAGAAAGGCATGGAAAGACTTAGCCGAAATGGTAAAGCGTGAAGTGAGCAGAACCAAAAGAACATTGTACACAGTAACAGCAATATTGTTTTAAGAATGACTTTGAGTGACTAAATCATTTTGACTATTATAAAAATGCAAATTAAAAATTAAGGCCATATAAAGAAAGACACTATCTGCATCCAGAGAAAGAACTGATAAATAGAAATATGTATAGATTAATTTTATGTATATTAATATATAATATATATTAAATTTACATACATGTATACTTATTTGTGTCTATTGGTATCCATCTCTAGGGTGTGATGAGGGGGGGATTTACATAATAACATATATTTAAAGGGAATGGCAAGTTTCATGTATAATTATCTTTTTATTAGACCATGTTATGGGCATGCTTGTTTTAGTGCATAAATTAAAAATAAAGTAAAATTTAAAATATTACTTAAAATTTTAAAAAGAAACCATGGACCCACAAGACTAATTCCTCATCTCCATAAAATCTTTACATGGAAGATTATCCTTGATGAAGAATAGATGCAAAGAAGCAGAATTTTGCAAATTATGTTCTGTATCAGATCACATATTTATACACACAATTGATAGGAAGTCATATTGAATATAAGATCTTGCTGTGTTTATTATTTGCCTCAGATACTTCTTAGCTATGTGACCCTGGGCAAGTCACTTAACCCTATTTGCCTCAGTTTTCTCATCTGTAAAACTAACTGGAGAAGGAAATGGCAAACCACTCACTCCAGTCTTTGCAAAAAAAAAAAAACAAACCCAAATGGGGTCACACAGAGTCAGACATGACTCAACAGCAACAACAACAATACGCCAGGCACATAGTGTATATATAAATATAATTGAAGTACATGCCTTAGTTTTCTAATCCTAACTAGTCTGAAATTCCTTTTTGCCCAGAGATCTCACACATAAATACTTGCTCCAATAAATTAAACTTCCACAGACTCAAAAGAAGACATTTTATAGTTTGCAAAGCATTTGCCACACAAGTTATTATCCCCATTTTACAAATAAGGCAACTGAGACTCAGACCAGCAAAGTGTTCTGATGCATCAGGTACCCATCTCATTCTATGGAGACTTACACATTCCAGCAAGTACAAGGCCTCTTCTGGGTATAACCGCTGCTGACCCCCTTCAGAGAAGCCCATGGTTTGCCAGAATTTACCCTATGTGAAAGAGAATGGGAATTATCAAGGTGGGGAAGGGTGCCTAGTGGTCCCCAGGGGTCCCCTTCTCCACCTGCTGCTGGCATAGCGTATTAGCACTCACCGCAAAGGACTTCAGAGTTACCACTCCATCCTGAGGACTCCACTCGGCAGTCACCAAGCTGCCCCTGGAGGGGAATGGAAAAGGGACAGAAAATCAATTCGAAAATTATCAGACTGAGGGACAGCTTGGTGGCGCAGTAGATAGAGCACCTACCCTGAAGTCAGGAGGACCTGAGTTCAAAATCTGAACTCAGACACTTGACACTTACTAGCTGTGTGACCCTGGGCAAGTCACTTCACCCCAACTGTCTCACCAAAAAAGCAAAAAAAAAAAAAAAAAAAATAGACTGTTAAAAAAACAAACTGGGTCTTTGTCCCCAGGGTATAGGGCAGCACCCCCTGAACTGTGGACTTCTTTGATGTTTTCAGGACATTACGTCCCCTTACTTTCCCCCAAAACTTCATAAATATCCAGACAGTGGCCACCCCCCTGTGCCCCCCCCCACACACACGCCTTAGTTTCTCTCTGTGTGCTCCTCTCTCTCTCCTTCCTCTCACCCCCGCTCGCCCCAAAGTTTCTCCCACCGTCGCTCCACTCGCTCCTCCGCAAGGAGGGTCCAAAGCTCCTGTCTACACAGCCGCAGCTGCTCCTCCTGGGCCTCCGAGCCGTCGGGGAGGAAGACCTTCTGGCCATGCGAGCGCAGAGGCAGCTTCTGGTCCCGGGACCGGGCTGCGAATAACTCCTCGGGGCTGCAAGGGGATGAGAGGGTTGCAGCTGAAGGAGGCGGGGGCACAGAGACCTTCGTTCACAAAGTTTGGGGAAACAAGGGGCCCCTGCCCTGCTTGTCCCGCCTCCCAGCCTTTGCCTCTCTTCGGTCCTAGCTGCTTACCTTACACTACCGCATCAACTCCGCTTCTCCTCCCTTCCCCTTCACAGAAGCACCGGGACCTTCACTCCTAACTCTGCTCCCACTTTTCCAGAACCTGCTCCTTTTTCTCTCTCCAAACCACCCCTCCCTCCTGCCTAAAACTACCCCGCCCCCACGTGGTCTGCCGGCTGAATCTTGGAGCATTTCCCGGGGCGCCACCCCGCCAAGTCAGCACCCTCCGCTGCCCCCCGCTTCCCCCCTAGGCTCACCTGAGCACGCGGCCAGCGGGAACAAGCACGGCCCCGGGCTCAGGCTCCAGCGGCTGCCCTGGCGTGGGCTCCATCAGGCAGACCTAGGCAGCTCGGAGCCCGGCAGGCCCATCCTAGCTCCACCTCCTGGACGCCGCGCGGCCCTAGCGCCCTTCGGATTCTAGGCTCTTGCAACCTCCCCCCCCACCCCGGGTCCTAGTGCCCACCCAATCTCCCTTCCCGCCGGGTGGGAGACTTCCAGGGCTCTTCCTTATGCCACAGCTACCCTCTGTCCGGTTGGGTGGAAGAAGACGACGGGATCAGGGGCACAGCAAACAGTCTGACTTTCGGAAGACCGTGATCTCCACCCCACCCCATCCCGATCAACATACACATGTCGGCTTCCCAGCACGCTCTCTAGGGATGCTTCTAAAGTAGGACTGGAGGAGCAGGCTGTCCGGGGGTGGATAGGGTGGATAAGGAAATGCAGGACCTTGGGGCAAGATATATATTCGTCTTGAGGCGCTAACATCTTTTAGGAGCTAAAAACCAAGCCAAAGGGGGACGCTGGGCCGAGAAAAGAGCTTGATTCGAGGTAAGAGGTGGGTTCCTAGATTTGATTTTGAAAATATTTGAATATTTTCTAAAGTGGACGCAGGAAATTCTAGAACTGTATCTTGGAGGGACCTCGACCTACTTCCTTCTTTAGTCCTAACCTAGGAATGTGGGGATAGGGGTTTGGGGGTGTTGTGGGGGGCGGAGAGCTGTCCGACCCAGGATAGTGCTGAAAGTGAAGCTTTCACCGGTCTCCTCTCTACCAAGGGCCAGTCAAGTGTCCTCACACTTCCATCATCCACAACTCCAAATCCCAAATTATGGGTTTTCTGAAGGCAAAGTTGTCTTTTCCCAAGGATTTTTGTATCCAGGGCGGGAACAGGAATAACTAGCAGAATGCCTTAATCTGTCTTCTGGCTAGAACTAGTCTTGTACCTGGCTAGGACAAGTCAGCCAACTCACAATCTCATAGATTTGGAGTTGGAAGGAACCTAAAATGTCATTTAATTCAATCAGAGGTCCAGAAAGGAGAAGCGACTTGTCTAAGATTGCACAGGTAACGAGTAGCAAAACTGGGATTCGGATGCAAGAGTCCCTGGCTCTAAATTCAGGGTTTCCTAACACCCCTCCCGCACACACACACGCGCACGCACACACACACACACACACACACACACACACACACATTCTCCCTAGTAAAAAGTAAAAGAACCCAGGATCCCCAACCGTAGAATTCTTCCTCCGCCCCCGCCTCTCCAGAGATGTCCTTAAGCACATCTTAGGGGGTTTGAGGGCAGTCCCCTGGGGCTCCCTAGTTCATGAGTCGGAAAGATTAAGAAGCGGCAGGACGGTATCAGAATCTTCCACGAGATGGAGCCATTGCTCCGACTAGACACATCGGGCAAGAATAATTGGGGAGCCACAACTTTCTGGGGGTGCTTCTGGAACCCGGGAGTGAAGGAGGGGAAAGTAGGTCCCCAGATATTATTTCTCTTCCATCCCATGTTTTCTTTTCCCTTTGGGTCACTTTTCTTTTCTTCTAATTCTTTTGTGTCTTAGTTTGGTGCCTTCTGCTTAGGACGCCAACACCAGCCACCTCGGCTTCTAAAGACGCTTTCTCTCCAGGGGTGGTACTGGGACGGGATGTGCGTGTTGGCGGGGTGGCTAGGGGAGAGGAGGAATGGAGGGTAACAGACGCGCCTCACCTGAGCGCATGCGTCATGTCAGTTTCGGACTCCCTGGGTCGAGCCGGGATAGAAGCAAGTAGGCGGAGCGGAGCGGGCTGAGTGACAGTCCGACGCCTTGGCCGGGAGGGCCCCAGAGCTCCCGAGCTCCAAATCCGGCTGGAGGGAGAGGAGGGTGTGGGGAGGGGGATGGGCGGGATTTCCTGCTGGAGGCGCCGAGCCGGCCGCGGAGGAAGAGGAGAAGGAGGAGAAAGGAGAAGGGCCGGCGGGAGCTGTGCTCTGGAATTGCAAGGGACTGAGGGGGGGTCCTGAGAACTTAGGCGAGGCCGCTGGACCTGGAAGCGGTGAGACAGACTGCCCGGGACTGAAGGGGGAGGAGAAGCGAGACTAGAGGAGGATACAAAGTAACTTTCCCTGCGGGATAGGCTGTTGCCCCCACCTCCCGACTCTGTGCTTCCCTTCCTATCCTCTCATCCCAACTTCCCACCCTACCTCCCCTCCCAATCCCCAGTCTAATCCGAGCGTCCGCCGTTTCCCCTTTCCCGTACCCCTTGCATTGTTTCTCCTCCCTGGGTAGGGGGCTCAGAAGGGGCGGGGGGAAGGAGGATAATGAGCCCCGTGCCCAGTCGCGGGCGCCCTCTTGCTAGATAGCTGAGATTTGGGTCCTGGAAGCGGAGTGGGGGTGGAGGTATCCAACCTGCGAGAGTGGTGTAGGGAGAGCCACAGGGCTGTTTGTTTTTGGGGAAGGAGCCCCCTGCAACCTAGGTCCCGGGTCTCCGCCCCCAACTTCGGGGTGGGTGAAAGCATAGGATTAGCTGAGAAAACTGGAGTTGGTTGGCTTGTTTGAGAGTTTAGTACTTGGATCCAGGGTGAAAGGTAAGGGGGAGGGGGCAGCGATTGGGAGCAACATCTTGCCTGTTTTCTGTCCCCCCAAAAAAGAGTCTACTTTATTACACACACACACACACACACACACACACACACACACACACACACACACTCTCTCTCTCTCTCTCTCTCTCTCTCTCTCTCTCTCAACCAAGAATGGGTGAGCAACAGGTGTCCAACTTCTCTGTCAAATAATTCAGCGCTGCCTCCTTCCACTCACACAGATTCTTTTGGGGGTCACTGTCCTGTCCAGTGTTCTTCCTCTCCCATCCCAACCTACCATAAGGAACCCTAGAACACCTAGCTAGTGAACTGAGGCCAACTAGGGAATGGGAAATCAGATGTATCTTTAGAGAGCAGCCCAGGATGTGTGTGGAGGATGGGAGTTCTTAATTTAAGGCAAAAAATGTCAACTCCTACCCCTTGGGATTCATGCCCAGTGCCCTAGGCCCCCTACTTTCCACACCAAGTCAGTTGTCTGTGGGTGTTAGGAACCTGGGGCTATGGGGAGGGGGGCTGCTTTACCCTAGTCCCCATGTCATGCTACTAGGGCCTTTCCTGCCCCAAGTCTGAGGTGCTGCCAGATGCCCCATGGATATAAGTGACTCAGCCTCCCCTTCCCAGAACTCAGTGCTTCCTCCCATCAACCCAGCACCCCCACCCCTTCCTACTTTTTTACATCATGGTTACCTCTTAACCATCTTGACAGGTTCAGCCCTGCTTCTTCATCGTAAAGCAAAAAATCATTCTCCTGAGATTTCCTTGGAGTTGTCCTGGGATGGCAGTAATACACAGGGGGTGCTGGATCTCTGGCTCTTGACCTCCCTTATGTCTGATACCTTCTTTCTTAAATTTCTTTAGGCCACGGCTAAAGATTTGAGCCTTCCTCTCCAGCAAAGAGACTTCTGTTGTGTGGGGAATGCCTTATCTTTCCAGGACAGAAACAGACCCCATGACCTGCCAGAGGGGATGCTGGCATTTTTCCGGATAGGCACTAGAGTTCCTGTGTCAACCAGGGAAGGGTGGCGTGGCCAGTTCTGGCCCATCCCGGAGTTGTCAGAAGCCGCAAGTTGGTCTCAGTCCAGATCTTCACCCATCCCACGCGCCCTCCAAGATTGGTTTTCCTGCTTGTGGTAGCAACTCTCCGAGCACCTGGAACCAGCACCAGTCAGCTGCTGACAGCCAGCTGGCCAGCCATCGGCCCAAGGGCAGTGCTCCTCCTCAGCTCTAGACTTCTATCCCCAGGACTTTTAACTGGATTTTTTGGCAGGCCTTCTGAGGAGCTGGGCATGGCATCTTGAAGCCCAGGATATCCGGGGCCATCTCTTGTTCTCTGTGCCCTGCCGTTCAGAGCCCCAGCCTTCAGGATGGGGAGGGAACAGGACCTGATTCTTGCTGTGAAGAATGGGGATGTAGCTGGGGTACAGAAGCTGGTGGCCAAATTCAAGGCAGCTAAGAGCAGTGAGTTCCCCCTGGTGTGACTGGAAAGTGGCCCTCTCCACAGGGTTTGGGGAGGGCAACCTTGGGTGGGAAGCCTTGCATTTGGCAGCAGGGAGGGAGGGTTGGCTGAGGTACATCATTGGTTGGGGAAATTGGGGGTCGTGTCTTGTTCTAAGTAGTCCCACTGAGAGAGGGAGGGAGAGCTCAAATTGGAAGGAAAAAAGATCCCATAGTCCTTGTAGACACTGAGCTTCCTTGTTAATCTTAAAGAAATCATTCCATTAGTGGTATTATCCTGACAGTCCTGTGGGTGAGATGAGTTGGAAACAGGCCCAGGAGGATTCATAGCTTTGGGAGCTCTAGTGAACCCTCATTGGCCACATCTTCTGGTGGTATAGTAGCTCCAGAGTCCCTAGTGTTCAGAGCTAATACTTTGGGGAAACTCCAAAGTTATTGTTGCTGTTGTTCGGTTGTTTTTCATTCGTGTCCTATTCTTCATGACCCCATTTGGGATTTTCTTGGCTAGCATACTGAAGTGGTTTGCCATTTCCTTCTCCAGCTCATTTTACAGATGAGGAAACTGAGGCAGAGTTAAGTGACTTGCCCAGGGTCACATAGCTAGTGTCTGAGGACAGATTTGAACTCAGGAAGATGGGTCTTCCTGACTCCAGGCCTGATGCTCTATCCACTTAGCACCCACCTTGCTGTCCCCACCTCATTTGATCCTGAACTTAGAGAGCAATGAGGTTATTGTTGGCGTTGACACATTTATTTCCTTTCATGGGATGTGAGCTTCCAGATTGATACAGGAAGAAGATTTTTAGGAGGACAGGGCCTTGGGGAACTTACTGGGATAGGTCTCTTCTTTGGGGGTTGGGCTAAAACCCCAGGCTCCAACCCCAAGGAGCAGCATCTGTCTATGAGTTTTGAGTATTCTGTACATGTTGCCTTTGGCTAATATTTCTCTGAATCAATCAATCAGCATGAGTTTATTGAGACCGTGCTATTGGACCAGCAGAGTGCTAGGTGCGGGTGCTGGGCCTGGAGTTAAGAAGACCTGAGTTAAGAAGACTGATCCTGTCTCAGACACTTACTAGCTAGGTGTACGACCTTGGGCAAGTCTCTTAACCTTTGCCTCGGTTTTCCTAACTACAAAATGGAATTGTTGTAAGGATAAAAAGAAAATATTATAAAGTGCTTAGCACAGTGCTGTCTATTATTATTATTATTAAGTATAAAAGTGACCCTGCCCTCATATAGCCTACATTCTACTTGGGGAGTTACAATGTAAGGACCAAGGAAAGGAGTGTTGATCCAGAGCTGAAGGTTGTCATGTCCTTCCCAGTTACAATAGTATGTTGACTTGATAATTTTTCCTGAGACAGAATGAAAAGCTTGAGGGAAGGGGTCAGTGCTTGTAGACCTGGATTGTTTGTTGTGGGGTGGGGAAGAATGACCCCAAGGAAGTCCAGAGATCACCACCTAATTTTAAACATTTAAAAGTAGATTTGATCCTTGCTGTGCTCCTAGGGGTCTGCTCTGCAGTCTGTGTGAGAGGGTGCAGCTCTGCCCCACACCCTAACCCTGTTTCCCCATGCACTCACTTTTCCCTCCTTCTCTGTGTTGTTTTTGGCCTCCTGCCCAGCATGGCCTTGATGGAGCTGCCTCTGTCCTCGTGGTTCATAATACAAAGTCAGAGCCACCCCTCCTGGGACAGTGGAATATAGTCAATGAATACGCAAACATTTATTTTAAATTCCTATTATATGCTAAGTGCTGGGTTAGTCTGGGACTGGGGTTGGTGTTACAGGGTCATCAGTCAATCAGGGAACTTTGCTGTCACCTTACTTAGGCCAGACATAGTGTTTGTGATATGGCAGTAACTTGGCATAGTGGTAGGTGGGAGAAGGGAGGGCACAAACTGGCTGGGGGACCTTCCCTCTTTTCCCACTGCTGGCCTGGATTCCAAATGAAGCAGAGTGAGAGAGGTCTATCTCAGTCTTCATATGGGCACATCCCACCTCCTCCAGGGCAATGTGCCAGACCCTGTGCTGAAAGCTAGGGATACCTAGAAAGGCAAAAACAGCCCCTGCCCTCTAGGAGATTACATTCGAAGGAGGGAGACAAGATGCAAACAAATATGTCCTTGAATGAGATATATGTGCGTATGTATATGTAAATGGGAGGTCAGTCAGTCAGTCAACAAGCATTTATTCATCTCTTGATATGTTCCAGGCACTATGCTGAGAGCTGAGCATACAAAGAAAAGCACAAAACAATCCCTGTTCACAAGGAGCTTACAATCTAATGGGGGAAACAACATGTAAATAACTAGGCACATACAAGCTGTAGATATACAGAATCATTAGAAGGTAACCTCAGAGGGAAGGCATTAGCCACTAGGCAGGGCTGACCTGAGCAGAAATGAGGGGAGCAGGCGTTCTTTAGTATTCTCTTTCTCCCACCCTGTCCTGCAACTTGGGAATGAGAGGGAGCTATGAGAGCAAGGGGAGAGGACCTAGTTTCTTCCTTCTGGGCCCAGAATTTCCCAGCTACCTGAGGTGGCAGAAGGGAAGGCGCTACCTTCAGTGACAATGCCAGATGCCAGGATGCTGAGTGAGGTCTTGGCCTTATTCTGAAGGAGGAGCAGGGGGAATGGGGCCTCTGCTCCCTCCCCTGCTGGGGGTTTGGTCCATGAAGGTCCTGTCCTCACAACCCCATCTCCTCCTCCACAGCTGCTCTAGTCCCCTTAACCCAGATGGAGTCCCTGCTTGCCCTTCCCTTGGGTCAACTATACAAGAAAGAATCCCCTCCATCCTAACTGACATGCGGGAGAGGAGCAGGTGGCCAGGAGGAGAGGGGTGGGGTTGCCTGGCCTTGCCCCTGCCCTTGCCCCTGCCCCTGTCTTTATCCCTCCCCACCTCCGTCCTTTTTCTGAACTCTTTCCTTTTTTAATCAGAGGAAGGGGAAAAGCATTTCCTCGTTCCTGGAGCCGGGAGGGGGTTTGGGGAAGAGACACTGAGCTCATATCCTGTCTTCCCAGGCTAGCCTAGCACTCCCCACCCTGTGTCACCAAGGGTACTGAGACCCCTAAGGGGAAGAGGGATTTGGGCAGGGCTACCCGGGGGAACATCATTCCCTCTCTGGTACTCTCTTGTGGTACTCCACCCCTACATGGTAACAGTCTCTCCCCTACAACCTTTCCGGTCATTGTTCTGGCCTGGCTGGAGCAATCCAGCATGACCTGGCCCTTGTTCCTGTTCCTGGCTATAAGACTGAGTTTTTCTGCCACTCCCCAGAGGGTGAGTTTTTGACTACTCTGCAGCAGAACCACCTACGTGCCAATGAGGAGCTGAGGAAGGTCTCTTGTCACTCCTGGCAGCTTCTGCTGGATGGGAGTTATGACCTTTGAGCCCCAACCCTCACCTCTGCCACCACAGTAACTTGGGTTTAGCACTGAACAGTGCTGAGCTGGAGATACTCTCTTATCTGTTCCCTATAGAGTTGTCAGAAGAGGAAACTGAGGTCCAGAGGAGTAATTCCATACAGTAATGAATTTAGCTTTTTTCCTCTTGACCATCAAACATATCAACCCCACCCCCCCTTAAATTCTCCCAAATCTGACTCTCTTGTGTCTATACATAACCCCTTTGGGGGGGGGTGTCTAACTTACTTCCAGAGATAGGGAGCCCAAGAAAGAAGCCATGCCACCTCTCCCCTGACATACCCCCTGTGCCACTCCCCAGTTGGCTTGGCTCATCACTAGTGGAATGACATCCTGGCCTGCCTAGGCTGCAGGGGCATTTAGGGGGCCCAGCTGGGACCTAGGGGCAGGCCTGGACCAGTATGCTTGGCTCCCTGCCTAGGCCTGGGGTGGGCCAAGCTTCCTCCCTGGCAGAGATGGGAACCAGCAGGAGAAAGGGCCTTCTAGGTACTCAGATTTCTGACAGATTCCTCTTTGATGGTCTTCATAGAGCCCCTTTTCACCCTTCCACATGGACAACAATTACACTTCTCATCTCTCTATCCAACTCCCCCTAAGAACTGGGATGTATCAATAGATTGTAAGCTACTTGAAGGAAGGGCGTATGTTGTATTTCATCTTTGTATTCCCAGAACCTAACCCGGTGTCCTACCCGTAGTAGTTAACTAATAAAATATTTGTTTGTTTGAATTGAATTTCTAGCCCAGCCCCAACATGTGGCTAGGCAGTAGGCCATCTCCATAATTATGGCAACCAGGGAGAGTCCCCAAGATTGAATGTTAGGTAACCCTATGGCAAGAGATTGTTGCTGGGGCTTCTAATGAAGAAATGGTCCCCCAAGGTATGGATGGCATTTGTCCTTCCATTCCTAAGCCTTAGAACCCCATACCCAAGATTTCTCCCCCTCTCCTTTGCCTATTTCAGCAAGAATGTCAACCATGTGTTCCATGGGCTTGTTCGGCATAGGGCACAGCATGCTGGCAATGCCACCTCCCCACACACACCCCCACATACTCCATTGTCCCTATAAGCAGAAGCTAGTCTGGGGGATTGTGGAAAGAGAAAGCCTTGGGCTGCTGCAGTGGTTCCTTGATTTTGAAGAGCAGGGCATCAGTGGGGAGTGGGTCAGGGGCCATGGGACTTGTGTTTTCCTGTACACCAAGAGGTCAGTGCCAGCTTTTGCAGGACTTGGGGTAGGGTAAAGAGAAATCAGGCTGCAGTGCGTGTGTGTGTGTATGTGTTGGGGGCAGGGAGGGCAGGGTATAGGGTGAGCTGTAGATGGGCTCTGGCTCTGACCTAACTTTGCCCCCTTCCCTCAGAACTCCTCGGCTCTACTAAGAAGCTCAATGTAAACTACCAGGATACAGATGGGTGAGTGAGCACAATTGCTTTCCGCAGGGAGTACACAGTTGGGAAACTGAGGCAGTGGGTAATAGGAGTTAGGAAGCCCCAAGGGGCCATATACTTGGGGTATCATTGATTAGATTTCTGGGATCTGAGGAAGCCTGGGGCGGGAAAAGGGGTATCTGAGTGGGTGGGATAGGGTCATACAGACCCACAGAGCTTGAAGGCATGTGGCTGGGTGGTCAGGGGGAGGGGCTTTCCATTCTTTAAGAGGGTATTCCTTCAGGTCAGATTCCTGCTGGGCCCCCTTTTCTCCCCTCTAGGGTAGAAATCCTCAGGCTGGCTCCCACGGCCCCCTCCTCTGGGCCCACTGAGTAGGGGGGAGGGAGATGGCCAGACAAACAGGCCTCTCAGCCCAGACACTGAGCCCTTTCATTCAGCTGGCCTCTTGCTGCGCTCCCACGGTGGTGGTGGGGGGGGGGGGGGGGGAGAAGGGGGAGGGGGGGAACATCAGGCAGAGATAGCCCAGCCCTCTTCTGCCACCCCATTCCCTGGGTGGTTCTGGGGCCCAGTGGATGGGTTGGGAAACACCTAGGTTATGGGTGTCAAGGTGGTGGGGTATGTGCTAAATTGGGACCTTCTTCTTCTGCTCTGTGCCCCAGGTTCTCAGCTCTGCACCATGCAGCCTTGGGGGGCAGCCTGGAACTGATGGCATTATTACTAGACGCACAAGCCACAGTGGATATCAAAGACAGCAATGGTGAAAACTTGAAACTTCCCATCCTTCCTGGGTACCCCAGCCTGGGCACTTTAGAGCCAGCTGGGCAACTGTGGTGAGGCTTACTGTAGAGAGCACTGGACTTGGAGTCAGGACGACCTGAGTTCAAATCCAGCCTCAGTTTCCTCAATCTGTAAAGTGGGGACAATTATAGGAACGTTGTTGTGAGGATGCAGTTAAGTCACATAGATTAGGTGCTTTGCAAACATTAAAGTCTTATATAAATACCAATTAGTATTATTACAGGCCAGTGTCATGGACCCCTTTTTGACATTCTGGTGAAACCTATGGATCTCTTCTCAGAATAATTTTTTTTTAAATTCATGAAATAAAATACATAGGATTACAGAGCAAACCTGTTATTGAAAGACAGTTATCACAGGATTGAAAAAACCCATAAACTTCATGGGCCGCAAGATGAGGACTCCCGTTCTAGACTTACCTCCACTGAGCCACTGTTTTTCAGTATCAGCTCAGATGCTTCAGTCCAAGCACCTTGTCTCTGAGAGCGCTAAACCCAGATAATTTCAGCAAGTTCCTCCTGCTTCTGCCCCTGCCAGCCTGAGAAGTCATGCTTGGTCTGTCCCTGTCCTTGCAGGCATGCGTCCCTTGCACTATGCAGCTTGGCAGGGCCGGCTGGAACCTGTGCGCCTGCTCCTGAGAGCAGCCGCTGCCGTCAATGCTGCTTCCCTAGATGGGCAGATCCCGCTGCACCTGGCGGCCCAGTATGGGCATTATGAAGTGGTGAGTGAGTTCTTTGGGTGGCAATTTTCGGAAGTAGATACCATCCTGGGGAGTTTGCTTTGTCTCCCTCCCCTTCCCAGCATAGAGGGGAAAAGGCCAGGGCTAAGTACTTACTCTGTGTCCCCTCCTCAGTCAGAAATGCTTCTGCAGCATCAATCTAATCCCTGCCTGGTCAACAAGGCTAAGAAGACCCCTCTGGATTTGGCCTGTGAGTTTGGACGACTCAAGGTGAGGCATCCGCACTCCCCTGCCCTCACTGTACCCCCAGTGAAGCATTCTTTCCCCCTACCCCACTGTACCTCAGGTAAGGCCTCTCCATCTTTGATGAGGCCTCCTCACCCCATGTTCACATTATACCTCAGATTATACTCTGGGTACACTGTGGAAGGATAGGATCTGAGTGATCTTGGGGTAGCTATTTCTGGGACCTAAAAGGAAAGGTTCCTGACATAAGCATGGTACCCACAGGTAGCCCAACTACTCCTAAATAGCCACCTGTGTGTGGCTTTGTTGGAGGGCGAGGCCAAAGATCCAAATGACCCCAACTACACCACCCCACTGCACCTGGCTGCCAAGAACGGGCACAAGGAGGTTATCAGGTAACTCTCACTCAGCCCCACTGCTTCATCCTCTGTGCGTTCCACCTGCCCCTTCCCTGGCTGTCCTTTCACCTCGCCGTCACTGCCAGTTCTCCTTTGTCTCCTGAGTACCTTGTAGCCTTTGCAGCAAACTCCTCCCTCTCCCTCCTTCCCCCACAATCTTCCATCTCCATTCTTCAGGCAGCTGCTGAGAGCTGGGATCGAAATCAACCGCCAGACGAAGACAGGCACCGCCCTGCATGAGGCAGCACTCTATGGCAAGACTGAGGTGGTGCGGTTGCTGCTGGAGGTAGGCATGTGTGCCAAGAGGAGGATGCCACAGGGCACACGGGCAGGCAAGGGCATTCCTTCATTGAGCAACTCCTGTGTTTCAAGGACGACGGAGGCAGAGTTATGGCACAATGGGTCAGGGAGCAGTGAACTTGGCTTCAGAGCCTACTCCCAGATGTTTACTTATCTCTGTGACCTTAGGTAAATCAGTTAACTTCCCCAGGGCCTCCATTTCCTCATCTTTGAAATAAAGTTGGACCAGATGGCCTCCAAAGTCCCTTCCAGCTTTAGACCTGTGAATGTTTTAGGCTGTGAACAGCCTAATGAGGATGACTCTTGGAGGAGTTTCCATGGGAGCCATACCGGATGACATTGGAGTTGAGGGGAGAATTGTGATCTTAAAGGGCATTTTTACATGGTGGTCATCACAGGGTGGTGTGGACGTGAACATCAGGAATACGTATAATCAGACAGCCCTGGATATCGTGAACCAGTTCACTACTTCCCAGGCCAGCCGGGAAATCAAGCAGTTACTACGGGGTGAGTGGGAATAATGTGGTGGGAAAGTGGGTGCTTAAGGAGAGCCCAGACCATGAGAAAAGAGAATGTAGTTGGCATGGTTAGGGATTGTGGGATGTCAAGTACTTGGGGCAAGCTGAGAGAGAAGCAGAGTTCACTGGGGAGAATTTCATATTAAAAAAATAAATAAAAAGAAAGAAGAAAAAGAGAATTTCACATTCAGCTTTAGTTTGGAACTTGGGAAGGAAGATTGAGGCCAGCAACACAGTGGGGTGGGGAAAGAGGAGCTGAGTTAGGGAGATGACCCCAGCAATGTTCACATCATCTCTTCTCTCTCTCTCTCTCTCTCTCTCACAGAAGCATCTGGGATCCTGAAGGTCCGGGCTCTCAAGGATTTCTGGAACCTCCATGACCCTACTGCCCTCAATATCCGGGCTGGAGACATCATCACGGTGAGGGATAGTAAGGAATCCCACGGTTTGTTGAGTTAATGAGGTTTTATGATTCTTTAAGGGGAAGGGAAGGGTCAGAAAGACTATAGGACATCAGAGATGTAGGGGAAAGTAGAGATCTGAACAAGAGGGTCTGTGGACCTGGACACCTTCTGCTGCTGTAGGTTCCCAGGCCCTGCTGAACCAGTTCTCCATGCATGTCTGCAGGTTCTTGAACAGCACCCTGATGGACGATGGAAGGGACATATACATGAGAGCCAACTGGGCACTGATCGGGTGGGATACTTCCCACCAGGCATTGTGGAAGTGGTCAGCAAGCGGGCTGGGGTCACCATACCCCGCCCCGCAGCTGGGACCATACCTCTGCGCCCAAATTTTGCCAGGACCCCTCAGCTGCCAACTGATGACTCCCTGCACCCTCTCACTTATAGCCAACTTCCTCGGGTTGGCATTAGCCCAGACAGCCCAGGTAAGTCTCCTGTCTGAGGGCTTGAAAACTAGCACTAACCCATTGCTCCCAGCACCCTCCTGAAGGCAGCATGGTATATTGGATAGAGCCCTGGTCTTGAGGATAGGGAGATCTGGGTTCAAATCCTAATATTCTGTGTGACATTGAAAAAGCCAGCCAATCTCTCTGACCTTCAGTCCCTTCATCTGCCAAATGAGGATAATAACAGCACATAACTCACAGGGTTGTTGTGAGGATCAAATGAGATAATTATATAAAGTAGATTTTGCAAACCCTAAAGTTCTCTATAAATAATGTCACCTCTTATAAGTTGCTGATAGTGCCTACAGGGATTCTTGTTCTTTTCCTCCTCTTCCCAGC